TCGTAAATCACGTGCGTACGGTTTTGACCGTTTTTCACGTGTTAGACCGATTGACCAAGATTCAAAAGTGGTTTTTATAAAATAATTATTCGGGAACCTTTAAAATATGCTCAGAGATAAAAACAGGGTTTAAAATATTGAAAACCACAGAGTTGGTTCGGGCGCCAAAGACCGAACGCCGAAAACCGAACGTCGAAAGCCGAACGCCGAAAGCTGAACGCCGAAAGCCGAGCGCCGACTTAGGTGGTTTTGGTTCTGAGCAAGGACCAGGGATTTTTAACAATAAAAGAAGTCATCAAAAATGTTTGTTTTGATGCACAAAAAAATGTTTTATGGTTTGTAAAAATTGTTTTGACTTTTTGAGAACCGAGACTTGAATAAATTGTTGGTTTTGATCACAAAAGACCGACTCGACTAAGTCTTCAATTCTTGATCTTGTCCTTGAGTCTTTTAGGTCTTGTTCCAAGCCATTCTTCACGCCTTGAGTTATTCAACGAAACTCTTCATATCCACGGCGATTTGGCAATTATCAAAACCTGTCAGAAATGAACACGACTTTAGTTTAACGTACAAAGTGTGTTCCAACAAAGTACTCGCCTATGGGTCATTCTCAAGCCCCGTAACGAATATTTCACCCAATTCCCCTTTCAAGGTCATCTCCCTAAGCACGACCCTCACATTCCGGCAATCTGTCGTGTTGTGAGAGTCAGATTGGTGGTAGGTGCACCACTTCTCTGTCCAAGGCCGCTTGGGTTGTTCTGCTTTCTTCTCATCCCTTATTTGATGAACAAACCCATCATATGTGGCCCTCGGCTTGGACCCTCCCATCTGGTCATCCTTCTTCGGCTTATCAGTTTTCACCTTTGTATAGCCTTCCTCCAGTTCCCGCTTGCTCTTGTTTAGGAATTCCGCCTCGGCATACTCCCATGCTGTATTGTAGGCTTCTTGATAAGAGGAGGGTGGCCTTCTACAAAATTCAGTGTAGAGGTCACCCGACCGAAAGGCATTCATCAGCAAAGACATGGTCGTCTTGTCGTCCATCTCTTCTACTTTGTCGACCTCGTCCCTCCAGCGAGTTAAGAACTGAGTCCAGGACTCCTTCTCCCTCTGCCCTACCGTGTTAAGGTAGGTGAACTTCTTCCTTTTGATGCAGTTGTCCTTGTACTTCTTGCAAAAAATCTCAGCAAGTTTTTCAAAGGACCCAATCTTACCATGTGGAAGGCTGTTAAACCATTCCACTGGCCTCCCTCTCAAGGATGAGAAGAAGAGTAGGCATTCTTCAGCATCAGTACACCTGGCCATTTGCGCTGCATTATGAAAGGTGTCAAGGTGGACATTTGGATCCTCCTTTCTAGTGAATTTCTCCACGTCCACCTTGACCTTCCGCCTCAAGTTTTGTGCATGTACCCTGGCTGAAAAGGGTGATTTGGCCAGGGTGTGCTTCTTCGCTCCCGCCTTCTCTTCTACCTTTTCCTCCAGGGCACGTAGCTTTCTCGCTATGCTCCCTATCTTGTCCAGGTCATCCTCATCGTATGAGAGCCTGGTATATGCCGATGCTCTGGGCTGGCTTTCAACTTCCTCCTCATCTAGGTGAATCGTCTTCGATTCCCTAGAACGACGAGATTGGGCAGGACGACTCCCGCCAAGTCTTTCCATTGCGCTAGTCCGGCCCATCTCAGGACCAAGACGTAGGTTGGCAGACTTGCGGGGTCCATCCTCTTTGTCCCCTAGGCGTTTGAACGCCGGATCTCGGGTCTTGCTGGGTTTGGCTATAGCCTTACCCTTCCTTCTGCGGGCTGCCTCCTGTTCCGCCTCGTCAACTTCATGGACATTTGAGGGCGCTGCCTCCTTCATGGTCCCCGTCAGATTCACCGAATGTATAGGAACCATTCTAGGAACGAATGTCGATGGAGTCGGCACTGGGGTGGCATATGGCTCATCATTGATGGCATCATGCCAGGATAGGCAAATGGCATGAAGCCCCCTGCCTGTTGCATCATGGCCATCACCTGTTGATAGCCCTGCAGAGCTTGAGCGTTTGCTGGGTCAGCGGCAAATTGAGCCAAGCTTGAGGGATATGGCGTGAATGCCCCCCAGGCGTTGTTATTGAGCCTGGGAACATTGTCGTCGTTGGCGTAGGAGTAGGGGTTGACATGATTGGGATCATGCCAATTGATCCTACCGTGGTGATTGGGGCAAAGGGCGTCCCCATGCTCGTTATCATCAGTGGGATGGCAGGAGTGCTTTCACTCGCAGCCTAGCTTGAAAAAATGTTGTGGTTGCTTGAAGACATGATTGTGGATATTTAGTGGGGGTAAAGTTTTGACCTGGTCGAAAAAACTTTAAAAAACGGCCCAACGGTGGGCGCCAAAAATGATGGTGTAAATATAGCTAGGTGGGTTGACCGGGTTTGACCTGGACACACTCGACCCGTAATATAGAACACACAACAAGAACACAAAGTATGACCTAGACCGGGTAAATCGCCTCAGTTCGAATTATATTTCTTACTCTGTCTCAAGAGTGTACTCTTTTAGTTAGATAAAGAATTGATCATCTCCTCTATCCACAATCATCATATTTATAGAGGAGGATTTGTGACCTTCCCCTATTCATCCATGGACAAAATAGGAAGCCCGTGGGAAGGTCATTGTAGTTAATTGAAGCACTGTACAATCATAGATTTTAATAGCTACAAGCCAAGACACTGTTCAATCAAAGACTAAAATGGATATTCTCAATCCAATCAACCCTGCAAAATGACAAACATCCCTTTCACTGTGTGCCTCGTGATGGATGAGCGGCGGGGTGGTCCCTCGGTCTTTGACGTGGTTCACCATGCGTGCGAGTCTGGACCAATGCTTGCCAAGTAAGATGATATGACCGGTAACCTTTTCTCAAAGGTTAACCGGTCATTTCTTGAGCTCAACCCGTCTCTTTGGTCTTCCGGAAGATCCTTCGTAATATAAGGTGATGTTTTGGATTTCGCCCAAAATGTGACCGGTCACTTTTTCAAGGAAAGTGACCTGTCAACTTTTGACTCGTCTCAATCAAAGAGTTAACCTCATTTGGTGATTGATGAAAGTGACTCGGTTGTCCGGGCCGGGTATAGGGAAATCATGTTGTGTTTTTGAAAGTAAATAACGAATTGAGATTCTCGTTAGAATAAGTCTGAATTGTGTAGATGTTGTAAATGAATTATTAGGCTTCCTAGAGGAACTCTAGGACTACTTTAGTAAGATTGTAAGTGTAAATTTCACTAGGTAGAACTCAGCCTTGCAGATCTGATATCTGATGGTTGTAGGTTAAAACGTACGTACCGGATCCACAAACTGCCGTTTCAAAGGAGACAGGGGTACTATTGTTAAAAATGATCGTACGGATTACAACAGACGGGGAAGATGAATGGTCCCAGAAGAAACTAAAAGAAATAAAATAATTCGAATTTATAATTTTATTCAGATTAATTACAACAAATAAAATAAAATTAGCTTCCGATCTTCAAAGGCCTTCGTTGACAATAAGGACTTTGTGCACTAAAAAGAAGCAGCGAACTGGGACTTAGAACTTGGGAACAAAATCTGCAAAATAGAACATCGTAGAAGGGCAGCGGAGTTTCCGGAACTGTCCTTAAGGTAATAGTGCACGCCTACCATACTGGAGAACGTGGGCACTTTCCTCTCAGGATAAAACCACTATCGTGTGTAGTGGTTGTACAGACCGACTACACACCAACGAACAATAACAATGCCGGAGTATTGCTGACCAAAAAATGTTGAAGAGGATGGCTGGAAACTTTGGCAAAAAACTAGAGTTCTCGTACTCACAAAGTTTTTTTCCCGTTTCTTGTTCGTGACAAAAAAAAAATAGGAAAAAAACCTTTTATAACAATAGGCTATCTCTCTTTTCCTCTTCTTGTGTGTACGTATATATACAAACCTAGAAGCATGAAAAGCCTTTTAATACAATTAACATGTGTCTTCAATTATTAAGAATTCAAACGGATCAAATCTTTTTCATGGGCATAATGACACTCATTAATAATCATAAGGATTACTCTCTCCGTCCCCCTGTATTTGTCCACTTTCATTTTTACACACCATCCAATGCACTTCTTTAATCCATTTTATCTTGTAATTTGTATATTAAAAAATTATAGAAATTATATATTAATAATCTATATGTTAAGACAAATCAAACAAGATCACACATGACTATATTTAGGCTTACACATTGAGAGAATTTGATGAGTCAAAGTGCTTAGATGAACAGTTCCAAAAGTTAAATGTGAACAAATACAGGGGGACGGAGGGAGTATATAATTTATGTGTCATATCACCCATCCTCCTCCTCCTTCTCACATGATCATGGACTTACAGATTGTTTGGTTTATTCATCAACACATAACATTTTTTGCAGCTGAAGTTGGATTACTTTTGTAAATAAACTGAATTATTGTGATGATCAGTAATCACAACATCAATCAATTCATTTACCTTAAAAAAATCACACACAATGCACCAAAAAACTGGAAGAACATCAGTCCAAAGCTCAAGAACACCAGCAGCTACTCATACTAGGAACTCGTACAAGTAAAATCATTCATATGCATCTCAAAGGAACTCAAAACAGCACGAAAGAATCCACAAAACTTGGACAAAAAGAAAAAGCATTCATAATCAAGGTTCTCGCTATAAACAGTAGTTCGTAACCCAAAAACCCCTCAAATCGAAATGAAAATCAATTGATAATGAAGTTCAACTTCATAGCATGGAAGGGGATTGCAAACCGCTCAGTATATCCAAATATTAGCCATCAAAGAAGTCTGGATCATCGTGAATCAAAGAGACAAAATTTCGAACGTTGACTTCCGATTCTTTAGATTTTCTTATCCAAAATCAGCGAAACTTCCTCATATATGGATTCACCAGCTAATGGTGCATTCGAGGTTCCAAAAAGAGTAAATTCTATAATTGGTCCTTTATAACAGGGTGGTTTCCCTATTTAGTCTTCTATTATCAAATATTACCCAAGTGGTCCTTCTTTTATTGGTACCTTTCCACAAATAGTCCTTTTTTTGATCTTCTATCATGTTTGTGTTAATTTGAGGGCTAAAAGTGTAATTTCACAATGATAATATATCTTTTTTGTCATACACAATTCCAAAGGTTGTTCCGTTTGCGTCGTTTGTAAATTACAGTCGCTTTTTACGATAATTATAGTCTACAAATATGATCTTTCGTCAAAATCCTAGCCCACAATCATAGTCATTATTTTTATGTTATCCGTTTAACCAATATCAGAACATGTCACTAGACATAATGTTGACGTCAAATTATACTTTTAGCCTTTAAATTAACACCAACACGGTAGAAGATCAAAAAAAGGACCATTTGTGGAAAGGTACCCTTTAAAAAAGGACTACGGGGGTAATATTTGATAATAGAGGACTAAATATGGAAACCCCCCTGTTATAAAGGACCAATTATGGAATTTACTCTTCCAAAAATCTCATGAATTTGAGCTCAAATCGATGGAAGAGGAGAAATCCCATTCTCGTGGCACTGTTCATAGCGAGAATTCCAGAGAGTTTGAAGGTGGGAGGGCATCTGCCGTCTGAAAATATGACATGCATTTATGAGATAGCAAAAGAGAAAAGAAAAAAAGGAGGGATTTTGAAAATTTAAGGAGGGGTTATGAAATTTTAGTTGATTTTGAAATTAAAAGTGAAGAGGAATTCTAAATTTTGAGAAGGAAGTTGTCAAAATGCTTTGGAGAAGGGGATGCAAAATATTTTAGTTTTCAGACTTCGAGTTATTGTTCAATTTTTACATTTTGCAATCAATTACTTTTAATCTTTGATCTAAAATTAAATAAAATATGTACTGTCGGGCCCGTTTACTAATCTGCGTAGCGACAACACAATACAGATTCAAAGCATATTAACATTTCAATTCATTTCAACAAAAAATTATGTATTCAAAAATATTTATTTCAAAAAAACACACACAGATAAGATTATACTAAATTAGATAACTGCATCTCAATTTAACATGTTTATATGTTGTTTAGATGATATCTAATCAAATCATATCTCATCAAATAAGATTAAATCAAATCAAAGTAAAAGAGTTTTAAATATAACTACAATTACATCAAGCAGATTAGATCTATTCCAATTAGATCAGTCAATATTAGATCTAATTAGATAAGATAAGATAAGATCAAATCAAATTCAATCAGATCTTATTGCTTGGATATTTCATGTGAGCCATTACATCTCAATTTAACATGTTTATATGTGGTTTAATTAGATTATATCTAATGAAATCAGATCTCATCATATCAGATTAGACTAGATCAATTTAAAAGTATTTTAAATATAACTAATCGGACTAATTAGATCAAATCGAACAAAAATAGATCTAATCGGAATAAATCAAAGTCAAATCCAATAAGATCAGATCAAATCTTTAAAAATATCGAATCAAATCAAATTCAAATCTAGTAAGTTCAGATCAAATATTTGAAAAAAAATCAATTTAATTGTATAGGTCGTGTCATATTTGCCTAATTTAATCCTTAAATGCATCATATCGGATCTAATTAGATTAAATCAGACCAAAATAGATCTAATCAGATCAAATAAAATTCAAATATATTAAGATCAGATCAAATCTTCATAAAAAACAACTTAATTATATAGGTCGTGTCCTTTTTGCCTGATCTAATCTATAAATACATCAAATAAGATCAAATTAGATGGAATTAGACCAAAACAGATCAAATCAAATCAAGTTCAAATCTAGTAAGATCCGATCAAATATTAAAAAACAATTTAATTGTATAGGTCGTGTCATATTTTCCTAATCTAATCCTTAAATGCATCATATCCGATCTAATTAAATTGAATCGGACCAAAATAGATCTGATCTGATCAAATCATATTCAAATCTATTAACATCTGATCAGGTCATGTCTTGTGTGCCTGATCTAATTAATCTATAAATGCATCAAATCAAATCAAATTCAAATCCAATAAGATTAGATCTAATCTTTAAAAAAACATTTTACTTGTGTTGGTTGTATCTTATTTTTGTGATATAAACTTTAAATGCATCAAATCGGATCTAATTAGATCAAATCAGACCAAAATAGATCTAATTAGATCAAATCAAATTCAAAGGCATTGGTTGTTTCCAAATTGATGCAATTGAATTGGACCAATTGCATCGATTGTATTTATATCAGTACAAAACCGATGCTAAAGGTATAAAACAACTGGTGCCTTTGCCCTTTGATGTACTAGTGATGGTTTCATTGGCTTGAAACTATTGTGTATAGGAAACTTTCAATTGGGGGGTGGGGGGTTGGGGCTTTTAGTTTATATTACGTTCCTTTGCTATATTATGTTGAACGAGCTGTATAGTTGGAAGATAGAAGCACATTGATGACGCTACAACTTCCAAATATGTAGAGGTTTAAACTTTGCTGGTTTATGACCTTGCAGATGAGTTTGCCTCGATATTATATTTAAGAGGCCAACTATTTTGCTCTTCAACAGTTCGACTTCAATGTCTTGCATTATTTCTTCTTTTCTTTAATTTGAACAATCAAATCTGAAAATTTTTTTGTATTCATATTTAAAATGGATATAGAAGACAAAACTCAATAACTAGGTGAAGACCTTTGTCCAATTGATGACTGGGCTATTCAATTCTCCATTTAGTACACTACTTATGGATTGTAGATAACAACTTTGCAGCTTAGTTTGGTTTAAAATCTGTTTTTTGTTCAAATGGATATCTTTCAATTTGATTACCTCTGATACTTTGGATAGATGTGATTGGCTTCGTGTAAGGGATACTCTGCGTACTCTTTATAAATTGGAAATCCAATTTTGGCTATTGAAGGGCAGCCCCTCATTTCAAATTTTGGCTCTTCAAATTTTGACTCCTTATATGAAATTTCCATATATAAACACACCAATTTATAGCCCCTCATTCATTAGCCTTAACATTTTTAAGATTTCTACATATAGGAAATTTACATTTAGTGTTTTATTTACTTTATTATCTTGGTTATTTTCAATGGCAGATCAAGGATCCATGTATGAAGAGTGATTAATCTGATGTGGATGGTAATTAATGGGGATGCTGCCATGCCAAAGCCAAGAGGCCAAGCAACCAGCAGTGCGAAAGACTAAGAGGGGTGATGATGTTGTTCCCTCTTCCACAAAGGCAAAGGGTCAAGCTTAAGTCATTGGGGAGAGTAACATCATGGCTAAAAACCAATCTTTGTGTAATTGGCACTCCTACCTTGAAGATTTGGTCTTTATTCTTTAATTTGAGTAATTTTAGAATATGGAGTTTCATTCTTTGTGTTTTGTTTGTTTTCTACTTTGGATTGAAGCAAGCCAATGTACTCTTAGTTTTGTTTTTAATAAATTTTGTGTACTCTTATTTGTATCTCGCCATCTTCTTATTGTTTTTTGGTTTTATGATGTGAGATAGATTGATTCTATGGGTTCCCAATTCCCAATTTCCAATTCCCTGTTCATGTACTTTTTTTCATTTCAATGGAAGTGTTTATTTTTTCATGTCCATATAATTATTTGAAACAATGTTTATTTGATTGTTGTACATATATTGTTCGAAAGTATGAAAGTAAAGTTAGAGAGCGTATCCATTTTCATTGAAAAAAGATTACCGTTACTCTGAACCTTTAAAATAGTTCTAGGCTTAAGAGCTAGACTACTATTTAAAACGAGTATTCTTAACTTTTAAAATTGTTCTTGGCTTAATACGCATAATTCTCTTAAAAACAGTTTTCTTTACTTATTATAGAAAACCGTGAAAAAAACGGTGTGACACACTCTACTAGTAATACATTACGGTTTCTCAAAACTTTTCTAAGCTTAATAGTCTAACTACTGTTTAAAAAGGGTATTCTTAATTTATTATAGACAACTCGTAATAGATTACGGTTTCTATGAATTTTAAAAATAGTTCTATGCTATATAACTATACTACTGTTACAAGGGAGTCTTCTATTCTTATAACAAACAACTATGCAAAACAAAACCATATGAAACATACAACTTACAATAGAATACTATTTCTTATAAGTTTAAAAACAGTTATAAACAGAAAAAGCATACTACTGTTTAAAAATAGTAGTCTAAACTAATTTTTGACAACTGTGGTAACAAAAAATGTATTTTTAGATGAAACGGACTACTAATAAATGATTACCG